CAGGGGCAGGTGGATCTCTGTGAGTTCAAGGCCAGCCTGGTCTTCATAGTGAGTCCAGGATAGCTGGGGCTACAGGGAGACTCTGCTTCAAAAAGACAAAAAAAAAAAAAGAGTTACCAAGTCATGAAAAGACATGATGCACACAGAAAAAATGTGTTATTAAGTGAAGCAATACGTTATGAAAAGCCTGCATACTGTATGGGTCCAATTACAAGACACTCTGAAAAGGATGTACAAGGATCAGAGCTTGCTGGTGGTTAGTGGGCAGAGATGGATGAATAGGTGGAACACAGAGGATTTTTAGGGAAACTTCTCTATATAGTGCTATAATTGTGGGTCTATGACATCACACACTTATCTAAATTCATACAATAAGATTTCAAGAATAAGCTATAATGCCAAGTCAATGGAAGTTTACCAATTGTAACAAATGTACCATCACTCTGATAAGGGTGTTCATAATGAAAACTCTCTTTATTGCTTCTTTATTGCTATGAAGCTAAAATTGCTCTAAAACAACGTGTGTACATAGTATATATTCTAAAATTAATATAATCTAAAATTATATACATACATATAAATCCTTAACTTCTTTCTGTACCCCCCTCCCAGTCTGTGTTCATTGAGTCAGGGGTACAAAGAAGGCTCCTGACAATTTAGCAGAAGTCAAAGCACTCCCAAGGGTACCCTAAGATTATGCTAGGAGTAGGACCCAGTCCAGGCCTCCAGTTTGGAATCCAGAAGATCTCAGTCCAGTATCAGAAAGCAGGTGCTTTCAACCCTGTGTGCCCTAATGTACAACCCAGGTATCTACCCCTTGTATAACCTTTACCAACACCCACACTTGGGAGTCCTGGCTAGACAAAATACACTTGCAAGGCCTCATCATGTAAAATATGATTTATGCACAGCCTTGGCTGTACATTGTAATCACCTAGGAATTTCAAAAAACATTGAGCCCTAGTCCTCACCCAAGAGATCCTAGTTTACTCAGTGTGGGGTATGGTGTGGGCAACAGGCTATTTTAGAATCAAGTGATTCTAATTTCACAAAAACCTAGAACAACTGATTTGGAAGCTGTCTAAAAATGTCCACTCATCCAGCAACATGCAAAGTTCAGACTGCTTATTTCAGCATTTGGATCCATTATTGTGCTTCTTAGCAATTTTGTCAACAAATATTCATTTTCACATTAATGGAAATAAATTGCTCTTCTAAGGAAGACCACTGTCAGCAGTATTTGGATGGAACCCAATTCTTCCTGCTCACAATGCTGACAGGATGGCAGCTGGCACACACTCCGCAGTTAATAAATTGTTTTTGGAGCAATTTAATTGGAAGTTTTGCATCATTATGTAACATGTTTAGGAAAGTTTCTTGAAGCTGGTTGGATGATGATGTCAGATTACTAAGTGTAATTTACCTATACACAAATTTAAGGGAAGAAAATCAGCTTACCTGTATTTTCAATTTTCCACTGTGAATGCATCAGCACACTTTCTGATAATGAAACAGCACTGCTGTGACCTAGAATGGTTTTGCTGAGTAGCAGAGAGTTAGATGAAAAGCCACTGGCTCTTTCTGTCTCTGGCTGCAGGGTGGAGAGGCGTGCTGGCAACACTTCTCCTGAATAGCTTTCTTTTGTTTGAGCTGAAAGGACAGGAAAGCCCTGAAATCCCCACATACCTACAATCTTGACCATGTAAATTCCAAAAACCCATTCACAAAAAGAATTTTGGAAATCAAATCCCTTTATCCACAAGCCTGGCTCTTGTTCTTGCCCATACCTCAGTTTCTCTGCAGGCATTTTGCATGCTTTTGTTGCTTGCTCACTCAGTGTAACCTGCAGAGAAAATATCTACAGTAGAGTTCAAATCTACATGTGCTATTTGGCAGTGTTTTCAATAAAGATATATATTATCTGTCCTTCCTATATGTCTTCAATGAAAGTAATTTAGGGATTTCTTTTTTATTCCTTTGCTTTTTTCCTTCTTTCCCTTTCTTTATACTTTTTTATTTTATGTATATGAGTGTTTTGCACCCACGTCATGTAGAGCCTTCAGAGGCCAGAAGAGGGTTTTGGAGCCGCTGGAACTGGAGTTATGGATGGTTTTCAGCCACCATGTGGATGCTGGGAATTGAACCCAGGTCCTCTGGAAGAGCAGTCAGTGCTCTTAACCTCTGAGCCATCTCTGTAGCCCCTCCCCCCTTTCTTTCTTTTATTTTGTTTTACTGTATGTGCAAGTATGCACGCGTGGCGTGTGTGTGTGTGTGTGTGTGTGTGTGTGTGTGTGTGTGTGTGTGTGTTGGATGGGACAGGTGCCACTGCCCACTTGTGGAGGTCAGAGGACAGCTTTCAGGAGTCAAGTCTCTTATTTTGCTGCTGCAATGCATACTCCAGGCTTCTAAACTTACCATCTAGTAACAGGAGTGCTGGGATTACAGATGCCTGCCACCACATAAGGCTTTTTCTAATCTGGGTTCTGGGATGGAACTTGGGCCTTGAGGCTAGTACCTTTACTTGCTCACACACACACACACACACATCCAGTTCTTTATGATTTCCTAATCACAATCACATTTCAAATTAGCTTGATCTCTAAAATTGCCTCTTTCTCTGCAAGATGTGTTAAAGGGATTTCTGTTGATGGAGGATCCACACTGGCCACAAAGTCTGAAAGTAGGGTCAAGGGAAGAAGCAGAAAAGCAAGTCAGGAGACAACTACTGGGTCCAGGAGTGAGTCTGAGCTAGGCCAGTAACAGTAATGATGGAAGCAAATAAAAAGGTTCAAAACAAACCGGGCCTGGTGGCACACGCCTTTGATCCCTGCACTCAGGAAGCAGGTGGATCTCTGTGAGTTCAAGGCCAACCTGGTCTACATAGTGAGTTCCAAACCAGCTGGGGCTACAGGGCAAAAAAAAAAAAAAAGGCAAAAAAAAAAGAAAGGTTCAAAACACATTTTAGGGTATTATCAGTTTCTTCAAAAAAACTTCAAATCATTTTTTAAATTTTTAAAAATTACACCTTTAATCCCAGCACTCAGGAGCAAAGGCTAGTGGATCTCTGTGAGTTCAAGGCCAGCCTGATCTACATAGTGAATTCCAGGCCAGCTGGGGCTACAGGGAGACTGTCTCCAAAAGATACCCCCCCCAAAAAATTACTTTTATATGTATAAGTATTTGCCTGCATATCTATGTACACCATGTATATGCTTGGTGCCCATGGAAGCCAGAAGAAGGCATTAGATCCCCTGGAACTGGAGTTACAGATGGTTATGAGCTGCCATGTGGGTGCCATCACTCCAGCCCCAGACTTAAAAAATCAATCGTTGCCTTCTCCAATAGAATTAATATCAATTATGATAAGCACATATGGTTAACATCCACCCAAGTAAGTTTTCTCTAGGTCTACAAATTTTAAAAAACAAAACAAAGCAAAACCAAAAATCTATGCATACAGGAATCCACACAAGAAATCTAACAAAATGCTGTGTAAACAGGAAAATCCAGATGCGTTGATTTGTAGATCTGTGAAAAATGATGTGGGTAAAAAAATAACTGAAACTATTATAACAGGCTATTTAGCAGTTTCTAAGTACTGTTCTATGAAAGGATTTGACAAATTGTCTCTTCAGATTAAAATAATCAGTGAAGGACTGGTGAGATTGCTCAGAGGGTAAGCATGCTTGCCACCAAGCCTGGCGACCTGCATTCAATCCTTGGGACCCACAGGTGGAAAGACAGAACCAACTTCCACAAGTTGTCCTCTAACTCCTAAAAGTACATCTTGATATATGCAGGCCCATACATATACACATAATTAAATAGAAATACATGTAATTTTTAAAATGTAAATAACAAGCGAGGTATTGAATATCACAGATGGAATGCTGGATACACAATGGAGAGTAGTGTGCCACCTAATAACTCTCCAGTAAAAAGATGCCACCCACGCACACAGAGAACCATGTAGGGTGCTAGGAGAAAACTCTGCGTAATCAAGATGGAAAAGAAAAGACACAACCTGAGTATGTACAAATCATCAGTCTCCCCGCCGCCCCCGCCCCCGCAACAGAAAAGATAATGGAGATTGAGATTTGGAAGATTTGAAGAAATTATCAAGTGCCCTTTCTCACCACTACCCTGCAGCAGTCCTGGCTGCCTTTGTTGTGAACACTCTGTGCTCTAGGGATGGAAAAACTACACTCTATTATTAGAATATGCAAATTTTTTTGAGACCAGGCTGGCCTTGAACTCACAAAGATCCACCTGCCTCTGCCTCCCAAGTGCTGGGATTAGAGGTGTGCGCTGCCATGCCCGGCTTGCAAATTCTTTTTAAAAATCCTTTTTAAATATAAGAGCGAAATATGTTTCTTACTTCTTTATTTATGTGTCTGTCCGTATTGTATGCCATGTGTATCTAGATGCCCTCAGAAGCCAGAAGAGAGGGTTGGATCCCCTGGATCCAGGTGGTTGTGAGTCACCCAATATGGGTGCTGGGAACTAAACACAAGTCCTCTGGAAAAGCAGCAACCACTCTTAATCACTGAGCTATCTTTCCAGCTCCCTTCTGTAACTTCTTTTATTTTACAAATGCTAGGCAAGTATTCTACCTTGAGCCACAACCCCAGCCCTTTCTCTAACTTCTTATTCATTGCTTCTATTTCTACTTTCTTAAAGCAACACTGAAAAAAAATCAAATCAAATTCCTTTTTATTCAGCAACTTTCAGTCATTTGAGAACAATGGCCTTGACACATTCTCCTCCAGGTCACAACACACCCTCCCTAGTCCTTTCATAAGACAACAGGATCTCTAGTTTCATTTAACATGGAGTTCTCTGGGTATCTGGCCCTGGGAGTATATAGGAAGTCAATGACCAGTAAAGGTTTCCTGGGGGAAGACAGGTAGAGCTGCATCTCAGTATGTAACTCCTAATGGAGCTGCATGCACACTAACTATTAAGATGGTACATGCCCCTCACTTGCTGCCAATGGCCTGCCCCACCACGTGCACTCCTGCTGACACCCCACAGAAATGCCTGGACTACCCACAGTCCTTCACCAGATGAGACCAGTGTCCCAGGTCCTGGCTCCTCATCTCACTCGAGCTTATGCCAAAGATGTAAAATTTGGAGTGGATGCCCCAATCCTAATGTTTCAAGGTGTAGACCTTTTAGCTGATGCTGCAGCCGTTTCAACGGGGCCAAAGGGAAGAATGGTTATTACTGAACAGTGCTGAGGAAGTCCCAAAGTAACAAAAGATGGTGTGATTATTGCAAAGTCAATTTGATTTAAACGATAAATATAAAAACATTGGAGCTAAACTTGTTCAAGATGTTGCCAATAACACCAATGAAGAGGCCGGGTACATCACCACCACTGCTACTGTTCTGGCAAGCTCTATCGCCAAGGAGGGCTTTGAAAAGATCAGCAAAGGTGCTAATCCAGTGGAAATCAGGAGAGGTGTGATGTTGGCTGTTGATGCTGTAATTGCTAAACTTAAAAAGCAGTCTAAACCTGTTACAACTCCTAAAGAAATTGCTCAGGTTGCTACAATTTCTGAAAATGGAGATAAAGAAATTAGAAACATCATTTCTGATGCAATGAAAAAGGTTGGAAGAAAGGGTGTCATCACAGTAAAAGATGGGAAAACATAGATCAATTAGGAATTATTGAAAGCATGAAGTTTGATCAAGGCTACATTTCCCCATATTTTATTAACACATCAAAAGGTCAAAAATGTGAATTCCAAGATGCCTATGTTTTGAGTGAAAAGAAAATTTCTAGTGTCCAGTCTATTGTTCCTGCTCTTGAAATTGCCAATGCTCACCAGAAACCGTTGGTCATAATTGCTGCAGATGTTGATGGAGAAGCTCTAAGTATACTGGTTTTGAACAGGCTAAAGGTTGGCCTTCAGGTGGTAGCAGTCAAAGCTCCACGGTTCGGGGACAATAGGAAGAACCAGCTAAAAGATATGGCTATTGCTACTAGTGGTGCAGTATTTGGAGACGAGGGGTTGAATCTGAACCTTGCAGATGTTCCAAGCTCATGACTTAGGAAAACTTGGAGAGGTCATTGTCACCAAAGATGATGTCACGCTTTTGAAAGGAAAAGGTGACAAAGCTCAAATTGAAAAAACCTATTCAAGAAATCACTGAGAAGTTAGACAGCACACCTAGTGAATGTGAAAAGGAAAAACTAAATGAACGACTAGCAAAGCCATCAGATGGAGAACAGGGTTAAGGTTTGTGGGACAAGTGATGTTAAAGTGAATGAGAAGAAAGACAGAGTGACAGATGCCCCCAATGCTACCAGAGCAGCTATTAAAGAAGGCATTGTTCTAGGAGGGGGGTGTGCTCTCATTGCAACCCAGCCTTGGACTCAATAAAGCCTGCCAATGACGATCAGGAAATTGGTATAGAAATTATTAAAAGAGCACTGAAAATTCCTGCAATGACTATTGCTAAGTATGCAGGTGTTGAAGGCTCTTTGATAGTTGAGAAAATTCTGCAAAGTTCCTCAGAAGTTGGTTGTGATGCTATGCTTGGAGATTTTGTGAACATGGTAGAAAAGGGAATCATTGATCTAACAAAGGTTGTAAGAACTGCTTTAATGGATGCTGCTGGGGGTGGTCTTTCTGTTAACTACAGCAGAAGCTGTCACAGAAATTCCTAAAGAAGAGAAGGGGCCTGGAATGGGCAAAATGGGTGGAATGGAAGGTGGTTAGGGAGGTGGCTTGTTCTAATTCCTAGAATAGTGCTTTGCCTTTATCAGTGAACTGCGACAGGAAGCTAAAGGCAGGGTGCCTCACCAATGACTTCAGAGGAGTCAGTTGAAGAAAATGACTGAAGAAAGGCTGGCTGATGTTTAAGAAAATCACTGTGCCCATCGGTTACTGGTTTTAGTTGACCATATATAATGGTTTACTGCTGTCATTGTCCATGCCTACAGATAATTTATTTTGTATTTTGAATAAAGACATTTTTATATTCCTGATACTGGGTGCACAAGCTGTGTACCAGTGTCCTGCTTTCAACTTCAATCACGGAGGCATCACAACTCCTGTTCTGCTACAGTCGGGGTTCCCGTGCTGCCATCACAAATGAGAAGCAGCCTTTTTGTGGAGAGTCAGAGTAATTGTGTACAAAGTAGAGAGATTTAATTATGCGATGACCTTTGTATAATAAAACTTTGTTTAAAGTTAAATTAAAAAAAAATATGGTACATGCTGGAAATGTGTAACACAAGCACATTGTTCACACTTACCTATTAATAGGTCATTAGCATCTTTCACAAGTGTAGCAGATAAAAATAATGAATTGAAGAATAAGTGGGAGTTTATGAGGTAAAAATACTGAGCTCAGAGAGGTGTACACATTTAATGTGTACATGAATCACGCAGATAACTTGATTTAAAAAAACCAAAAAGCCAGGTCTGATTCTGTCATGGCTTTTCTTGTGGGCACCAGATGAGAGAAAGCCATGCTGCTGGTACGAGGGGTCGCACTTTGAGCAGCAAAGGCAGAGATCACAATCATGACATATTCAAGCAATAGTCATATTGTAAATGAAAAAAGGAGAAAGATATTAATATAAGGGGTAGAAAGTGGTTCAAGAACACTTCACGTGTGAGGTCCTGGATTTGATCCCAACACTACACATGCATGCATGATCAAGCATGCATACACACACACACACACTCACACGCACATATTCTAAATCTATAGATAAGATAAAAGGGATGTGATAAGGGTACTATGAAGCAAATTTCAGCCAGCATAGCAAGTTGCAATAGAAATAAAAATAGGTCTGTTGTATATACAGTGGCTCTTTGAAGGTCAAATGTCCAATATTACAAACAAAGAGAAAGATTTCAAAACATCTAGTCTATAAAAGAATCATATACAAATGTGTATTGGGGCATTGTCTGCCCCCAAGTGAGATATCCTAACAGCAGGATTTTCTGAATCATACTCAAAGCCCTAAAAGTGAACAAGTAGGCACAGAGGGCTCTATGCTATCCATACCTTGTCCTTTCCCCACTTGTCTTCTTCCCAACTTTCTGTATCAACTGCAAATACCTGAACTGAGAAGCTTCTTGAACATATTTGAAGGGAGGAAGTGCTTGGGAAAATGTTAGCATTTACCTTTACATCCCCGTAATGGGACCCATTCTGAAATCCCCCAAAGGGTCTACATGCTTACACAAATACGTATTTGTTCAGGAAAAAAGGGAGGAAAATTTTAAACAATAAAATAGTAGAAGGAGGCTGGAGAGATGTCTCATCAGTTAACCTCTTGCAGAAGACCTGGGGTTCAATTCTCAGCATCCACATGGGAACCCACATAATAACCATTCATAACTTCAGTTCCGGGTGAATCTGATGCCCTCTTCTGACCTCCTTGGACACTGCACGATATGGGTGCACTTACATATATGCAGACAATACACTCATATATAAAATTTTTAAAAAACAAAAATATATTTTAAAAAAGAATAGAGAGGACTCAACAAAATATATGCAAAGGAAAGGCATCGGGCAAAGAAAGCTGAGAGAATAAAAAAGACTACATGATATCAATAAGGTTAATTTTTTTGAGAATAAAGATGAAATTTATTTTAACACTTGAAATGGTGCAATAAAAGTATTTCCCACCAAGTGTAGTAGTATACACCTTTAATTCCAGCACTTTGGAGGCAAAGGCAGGCAAATTTCTATGAAATGGAGGCCAGCCTGGTCTACATATCAAGTTCCAGGCCAGCTGAGGCTACATACTGAGACCTTGTCTCAAAAATAAACAAAAACAGATTTCCAAAATTAAGAATTCAAACTGAATGCAAATTTAAAAGTAGAAATTAAAATGTAGAAACTGCATTTCACCATGCAGAAACTGGTGAAAGATTAGAAAATTACTTCTAAGAAATGGGTATAGAATGCTTTATAAATAACTTTAATTATCATTAATTAAGGTTTATGGACACCTGCATATGAATATATTTTCATAATAAAAGATAAAAAAATTCAGCCAGTAGAAGAGGTTTTCCTTTATATCTTTCAGATACAGTTATAGGCAAATTAGTGGTCTTAGTTAAAAAATAAAAGTGAGGTTGGGCATGGAGGCACATACCTGTAAGTCCTAGCATTCAGGTGGCTTAGGTAAGAAGATCCTGAGTTCAAGATTAGCCCAGGCTACACAGTAAGGTCTTGTCAGAAAAGAAGGGAAAGGAGAGGAAGGGAATAAAATTAGACAAAGTTATATAATATGGCAAAATGTTGTAAATAGCCAAATTGCCTTAATAATTAGTGCAGGTGCATTAGGGCACATATTAGGACCCAGGAAAAAACCATAATCACTCCATGATACTATCTTGGCAGGTGCCACTGTCTCACATAACCTTAATGTCTAAGGACTATTGACATGGAAACAGCCAGTTAACTCTCTTCATGAAATGCTTTTCAACACCCAGGGAATGCTCAAAGAGATCTCTAAGACTTTCTGTCACCCACAGCACCAACTTCAGTTAGCATAAAATTATCATGAACATAGAATTTATCATTTCAGTTTTATCCAACAGAACATGAACTTTCAAGCAGGTACCGATTCTGATACCTATGATCCTAAATGGACGTCTATTGACTGACCAAGTGACAGGATGAATGATGCTGGAAATCAGAGACCAGGAATGAGGAGGCTGGTAAAAAACGAAACAAAACGAAACAAAATAAAAACCCTAGACAACTGTGCAGCACTGTCCCTCTGCAATTTAAGGAGATGTCCAATGCTGTTCATAGAGAGGAGCCGCTGAATTGATGACCTGCCTACAAGTGCCTCTGCCCCAACGTACACATCAAAACAGGAATTAGAGAAGAGCAGTCACCGCTCTCCATAACCCACTGACTAGGAACCTCACAGGATGCCGTCCTCAGTCTTTCATTAGTTAATAGAGAATAGTCCAAAAACATTGCTGATGGGCTTTTGAGAAACAACACACACCTCCTGTCAGGACCAGCTGTGGGTTTCCAAGGACTGCAATGGCCATGAGTTCCCCTCAGTGAGGGAGGGACCAATTGTTGGAGTTCACATTGTACTTGAGGATTTTTGTTGATAAAAATAACCTGTCAAATGACTTCTTTCGTAAGACCATGTGGTACCTGTCAACAGAATCAGAAGGGGCTGCTTTTAAGAGGTATTTCTGAGTCTAGACTACAAAGTTAAGTCTCTTTATTTTTTCAGCTGATGGAGACAAGTCTTAAACTTGTCCAAAAATCTGTCATTCTCACACATTCATTATCTTCCTCCTTCTGAAGAAAGTTGTACTAAGTCCCAGTCCCACAGCATGTTTACACAACTGTCTCCTGCTTCTAAGGATCAACTGCAAAATGCAGTTTCCCAGTGAAGTTTTCAGGAATGTTTTCTGATGTACTTCAGGACCGTAAAAGCTGGAGTTTTCCTACTGTAATTTTTCAACTATGCTTCCCAGAATGACTACCCAGAGAATGTTCCTCTCTTCTGGGACCCTTGTTAAGCCAAATTTTCTCATGACTTCTAACCCTAGTGAGTGCATTTCCTTCTTTTATTGTTTTTACTGTCCATCCCCCCCACCTTTTTTCTCTTCTACTGCCCAGTCCCAAACAACATTATTTTGTTCTAATGCAAAAATCGACTTCTCCTTGGGTTCTGCATGTGCTTTTGGCAGATGAATCTACCACCATCATTTTCTATTAAGTCATCGAAAGGCCTGTCATCCTGAATTTCCACATATGTGGAAACATTTAACAATGCTTATTTGGGCATTACAGCAAAATCGTTCTGAAGTTGAAATTGCATATTAGTCAAAGGAATTGGATTCCAGACTGCCTTGTTTTAACCCACAGGAAATTTGTGAGAGTCAGGTTTATGAACATTGACGAACTACTCAAGAAAACATGCAAGGTTCCTGAGTATATTCATGAGGATTTTGATCAAAGCTAGTAATGACTTTTTCTAATAAAGGAAGAGTATTTTATTTTAATTACATTTATTCTCTTTCTCTCTCTCTCTCTCTTTGTGTGTGTGTGTGTGTGTGTGTGTGTGTGTGATGCACACATCATGGCATACATGTGGAGGTCAGAGAACAGTTTGCAGGAACTAATTCTCTCCTTCTACTGTGTGGGACCCAAGGAGACGGAAGAGGGGGGAGAGGAGGAGAGGGGAGGGGGGAGGGGAGAGTGGGAAAGGAGGGAGGGGGAGAGGAGAGGAGAAGGATGAGGGGAGGAGAGGAGAGGAAGGCAAAGGAGAGGGGAGGAGAAGGGAGAGGAGAGGGGAGGAAAGGGGAGAGAGGGAGAGACTGTAGATAAAGACCTATTTATTTCTTCCTTCTTCTGTCCAATGACCAGAAAATGTCTCTAGATACAGCAATCCATTGGCAATTATAGACCAGGACTGCAGAATTAAACTGTCCTTCCCCATCCACTAAGGAATCAAGTTGTAATGCTTTGTGAAGTTTAAAAGTGCAGATTTACCCTAGAAAAGTTATGCATATTGCTTGCAAAGAGGATAGCTTAATTATGCTTCTTGTTTTCTGGCCTGGAGTGTATTATCCAGGCTGGGCTGCTGAAGAAGGGATGTGGTTATACAGAAAGTAGATTTAGGCTTGCATTCTTGTAATCTAACCCACCAAATATGTAAAACATCAAAAACATGCTAACTTCAAACAGGCAATGCCAAGCCACTCCTACTTTCAGGAGGTTACCACCCTAGAAA